GTGTGTGTGTGTGTGTGTGTGTGTGTGTGTGTGTGTGTGTGTGTGTGTGTGTGAGCAGCTGGGGGAAACATGACTCTTGACGGCTGTCGTGAATGCACGAGCGTGGGTGTGGGAGGGGATGTCCCACACTGTGGGGGTGTCCCTTCATGTGAACTCCATTCCTCATGTTTCCACAAAGCGGTGATCATCATCAAGTTGATTTTTGTTCAAAAGAAACGCTCGTTTAGAATCATAACCACAAAGTCATAAACCCATGGAAGGCTTTTTGTAACTGCATCTGGAAACCGCCGTCACAGGAACTACGTGCTGATTTATTCTACGTTTGTCTAAAATAATTTTTAATAATGACGTTGTGCATATTGTAGTCAAATCTCAAGGCTAATAGTAGATTGGTGGGTCTGTTAGCAAAATATGTCATGAACCATGGGACAATTTTGACTCCAACTCATAAACAGTCGTCATTGTATGGCTCTAACGCAGACATTTCTACAGATATTGAGCTAAAGTTTGGTGTGGCGGCAGTTGAGGGTCATCCTCTGAGTGCTAACAGATCAAAAGAGATTGTTGTTTAAAACTTGCACATGCACTCATTTTAAGGGATACTTCAGAAGCAAAACTTTATGGAAACAAGCCGAGTCTGTGAAAAACAATTTTACCATCTGAGTTTTTCCACTTTAAGAAGTCATTTCAACAACGTGAATTACATTTAACCGAAGAAAAGAAGTGATTTTTTAAAAATCATTTTCAATTCAGTTTATTTGTATAGCGTCAAATCACAACAGAAGTCGTCTCAGGACACTGAACATACACATTCATATATAAAAATAATAATTTAACTTTATTTATGTGAGGAGCAGACTGCTTTGAGTTTAACTCCATCACAGAACTCTCATCTTGAGCATGAAGGCGACAGTGGGAAGGAAAAACTCCCTCATAAGGAAGAAACCTTTAGCAGAACCAGGATCAGGAGAAGCGTCCGTCTGCTTCGACCGACTGGGAACAGCTACACAATGGCAGGTGAAGAATCACATGTTGAGACAGAAATAGTGTCTAATGAAAACTATTCGCAACAATTCATTTTAAGAAAATAGGTAAATTTGTCATTTAAGCTTAAGACATTGTGACAAGCCAACCCTAACTATAGGATTTATCAAAAAGGAAAGACAAGCATAACAAGCCAAATAGGAAAGTCTTAATCCCAGTCTTAAAACTGGACAATGTGTCAGTCTCACAGACAGAAACTGGAAATTGGTTCCACAAGAGAGGAGCCTGATAACTGAAAGATCTTCCTCCCATTCTACTTTTGGAAACTCTAGGAACCACAAGTAAACCTGCAGTCTGAGAGCAAAGTGCTCTGTTAGGAAAATATGGAACAATAAGATCTGTAATATAAGATGGAGCTAGGTTGTTGAGGGCTTTGTAGGTTAGAAGTAAGATTTTGAATTCAATTCTGGATTTGACAGGGAGCCAATGAAGAGAAACTAAAACTGGAGAAATATGATCTCTCCCACTAAATCCAGTTAAGACTCTGGCAGCAGCATTTTGGATCAACTGAAGACCTTTTTAAAGAAGTATTTGGACACCCAGATAATAAACCATTGCAATAGTCCAGTCTAGACGTGACAAATGAATGGACCAGTTTTTCTGCATCATTTTTTCATTCTGAGATTTTGCTTTTGGAAACATAAATTTCTCTTTTTCTGGATGTAAATCACATTTTTTGGATGATTGTTTCCTCTGGTATCAGATGCTGTGCAGCTGGAAGGATTTTTACTGAAACTTTTTTTAGTTTTGGATATTTGTTATGATGTGTAACCATGGCAACAAGGCAGTTTTCTACAACCAGCAGCTGATTAACATCTCAAAAGCTCAAATAATATCTCAACTACAGCCCCAAATTACAAGTGAGTTGAAAAGGATGTTCTGTGGATGCATTCTCATCTACCTGCCAGCTGTGCTTGAGTGCCTGACCACTGAGATCCTAGAACTAGCAGGAAACACGGCTCATGACAGCAGAAGGACAGGATCATCCCTCGGCACCTACAGTTGTCTGTCCGCAGCGACGAGGAGCTCGGCAGGCTGCTGGGAGGAGTGGCCATCACTCTGGGAGGAGTTCTGCTCGGCATTTGGGTGGTCCTACAGCTTGGGGGAACCGAGAGGCCAGCCGAGTCTGGGTGGACGGCATCTGCAGCCAGTTTCTTAGGATCCACTGTGGGACGGACCTTTACAAGAGATCCTTCCTGTCTACAGCCATCAGCATCTATAACAACTCTTAATGAAATGAGGATAATGAGTTACAACAACAAATAATTTCCCTTTTGGATTAATAAAGTATTTTTGAATTTGAATTTTAGATCAGATGTTTCTAATTTTAGTGATATTGCGCAGGTGGAAGAAGGCGTTTCTAGTAACATTTTTAATGTGGGGGATAAAAGACATGTCCTGATCAAAAATAACACCAAGCTTTTTAACATTAGAGCTGGAGGTCAGATTAATGCCATCTAAGGAGGAATAAAGACTAAAAAAACTAATACCTAAGATGCTCAGGTCCAAAAACTAAAACCTCAGTCTTGTTTGTGTTCAAAAGCAGAAAATTAAGGTTCATCCAGGTTTTTATGTCTTTAAGACATGCTTGTAGTCTAAGTAGCTGATTGGATTCATTGGGTTTAATGGACAACTATAACTGTATGTGTCATCAGCATAACAATGAAAATGTATCCCATGCTGTTTAATAACTTTACCTAATGGAAGCATATATAACATAAAGAGTACTGCTCCAAGTACTGAACCTTGAGGAACACCATGACTACCTTTGGTGTATGAGGATGGTTCATTATTCAATATTTACATATTATAGAGGGCAAACAAAAGGGAAACTTAGATATTCTGAGATTTTCTAAGAAAGAAATCATTTATATTCTTGAACAGCATCCACAAAATGCTGGTGAAGATTCTCAGTCATCCAGGACACGATAAATTCAAAAAGTGTTCAATACAAAAACATCCACAAAACAAACATTGTTGATCTTCGACACAAAAAACAACCGCTCACAATCTTCTTGGTCAAAAACAAGCTAATAATTGTCGAAGCGCAAGAGGTGGAGCCATTTTAGCGCTTCCAGTCTGTGTCAATCTAACGTGAAACAGGCTCATTACAGCAAGCAAATAAAAATACATTTAGTCTCTTTAAACTTGGTGCTTTATTTAAAATATTTATTACAGTCATAAAGTGCTCAGTGGTTTTCCTTCCTTCACAAGTGATCTGACAACTTCTCTTTTCCTTTGAATTTTGTACTCATCGTTTGAGGAAACAGTTTTTCTTTTCATTGTTATGCAGATGACTGTCTGATTTATCTTAAAACCACATTTAAATATCTAAATGGCCTTGAACCCTCATATCTCTCCGACTCCCTTCAGCCATGTTCCTACACGAGATTTCATCAGTTTTTAGTCGTCCCATAAACCAGCTGAAGCTCAGAGTAGATCGGGATTTTTCAGTCGTGGCCCCCCAAACTTTGGAACAATCTGACCTCAACATTAGCCAGGCCTCTTCACTTCCTGATTTTAAAATCTCTTTTAAAAACATTTCTTCTCATCGATATATATAATCCAGTGTGAGTCATCCAGAGTTAATTAATTTGTTTTGTTGCTGTCTTTATCTCTACATTTGTCTTGCATTTTAAATGTGCTTCATATTTAAACGGACTTGAGTTAACTCTAACGACATAAAACATGTTTGAGCTCAAATCTGCAGCTCCTCTCCGTCTTGTATTGGTGGCATCGACAGCATTCTGCAAACTTGCAAAGCATGAGCAAAAAAAAGCTCAAAGCACATCTGTCCAAGGTAGAAAACATTTGGCTTCCTTTTAAAGAACAAAATTTGATTAAAACAATTACAGTTTCTTGCTTTTGGGCCAAGCTGTTGCACCTTTTTAGAAACGTTGGTTTTCCGGTTTTTCTTTCAGTTCAAAACAAGAGTAAAACTTTGAAGCCATGAAGCCATATTTGCTTGGAAGGCTCTTCGGGAGGGGGGTTATCGCTGGGCAGAAAAGGCTTTATTTAGGCCGGGGCCTAAACGAGGAGACGTGTGATTGGCTGCTTTCAAATTCTTGATTTTCTCTTGCGCTCCGCAGATGCACGAGACGCGGAGCTGCTGGCCCAGCACAACATCACCCACATCCTGTCCATCCACGACGCAGCTGCGCCCATCCTGGAGGTGAGGCGGCTCCTATCGGCCTTCGCGACCCCTTGACCCCCCCAGCCCATCTTTAAAGAACACAACGTTGTCTGAGCGCAGGAGTGTTGCTTCCACTCACCGTCCCTGCAGATGAGCACTCATTCTGAAAGCGTGAGGCCTCAGCGGTGCCACCACGTCTCCACAGAACTAATGACTTTTTCTTCCTTTAAATTCTTTAAAACAAAAATTAAAATAGCTCGTAATATGGTTTTATGCTGATTAAGTCAAAACTGGATGCATTTTGTTCTGATCTTTCAGCCTCTCTGGTATTATTTCCCTTTATTTTATTAATAAATAAAGTTTCCTTACATGAAAGTCAGATTGCTGCTGAAACAAACCACTTCAAACAGAATGAAAGTTCTTATCTTCATTTTTCTCAGTCATAAGAGCTGGAATTTACCTTTTCACTAAATACACACTTTTCCTACTGAAGCTGTAATATCACGTGAAATTGTAGTTCGCATGTGAAAACTGGTATTTTCAGCTGATGCAGCTGCTTTGTGCTTCTCATGAAAAGCTTTTTTAGCTCTGCAGCTTGTTGTGTAAGTGGAACTGCCCCCCCCCCCCCCCCCCCCCCCCCCCCCCACACACACACACACATTTCTGGCTTTTCAATGTAAAGATTTGTGCAGAAAAATGCAGGAAAGCACATTAATCCTTGGAGTTGACTGAAAGACATCTTGTGTTTAAGTATTCAGCTGAAAATGTCTCCGCCGTCGTCCTCATTTTTCTAAAATACTGAATCCGCCCGACACCCTCGCCGTCTGCTTTCACAACTTTCATCTTTTCTTGCTGAAAGCAGTCATGAAAAGTGCTCAGAGTTTTCTGTACACTTTCTCCAGATTGTTTCATTGAACAGCGAAGAGAAACAGCAACCTGTATTACACGGTATCACTACCCAAACTGGTCAACCACCAAGACTTTGACGAGGTCTTGGACTTGAAATGACGTCTGGGTGCAGTTTCTGAGCTCTGCTGGCAGCTGCTTGGCTTCATGTTAATCCCAAACACTAAACGTAATCTTAATCTAAACGTAGGATGCAGCTTCTCGGTTTGTTTTCTGAGGTTTGTGGCTTGAGCATGACTCAGGTCTGTGTTGGCCCGAGTGGCCAGATGGGGCGCTTCATTTGCATACCCAACAGTCAAAGCGCTGACTGATCAATTTCTTGGAAGATAGGGTGATGGTTCCTGAGAGAGGAAGGTAAAATTTGCAACCATCAAGTCTCAGCGGTCAGAGTGTGGCTTAAATTACCATACTGCAAAAATAAGGAGGTGCAGCCGTTTTTAACAGCAAAATCTGAGAAAAGTGCGTTTGCTACAACTGGAGCAGCGTTTAGTGTGAATCTGAGTGGAAGCTAAAAATATAGCAGAAAAGAGTAGCAGCAAAAAGCTAGTTAAAAGTGGCAAAAGATTAGCTTTTGCTCCTTTGGTTACTAAAACCAAAGGAGCAAAAATCTAGCTAATAATAGTCAATGGCTAACCAATAGTAGCAAAGCTAAAGGTTGCAAAGGGGTAACTAAAGTAGCAATAAGATAGCTAAAAGCTAAAAGCAGCAAATGGGTATTTAAAAGCAAAGTAACAAAAGGCTGAAAGTAGCAATAGGGTAGCTAAAATCAAAATAGCAAACGATAGCTAAAAGCAAAAAATATCAAAAGGCTAGCTAATAGTAGTCAAGGGCTAACTAAAAATACCA